TTCTAAAACTGACAAGCCTTGGATATTAACCTACTTCAACAACAATATTATTATCAGTTAAGTCTAAAAAACCTTCTCTCAATCTAATAAAATCTCTATCATATATTGGCAACACAATATCGATACTTCTACTATTCTTTATCTCTAATTTCTTGCACTTCTTGCCAGGGTTGCAATCTAACTCCTATCGTTTAACTTGTTGTTGCACTTTAGAAGTATTAACTATTTTTCTACTCACTTTCTTGAAAGAAAAAAAGCTAACAAGCAACTTAACCTCAATGCTAATTATATTGACCTTATTTGCTCTACAGATATTTAACATTCTTTACATATACTACCTTTGCCAACTATCAATATTATTAACTCAATTATTTCAAATATTTTTTATGAAAGTGAAGCTTTCAAAAAACTATCTCATATTGCACTTTCTAATTTCTCTCAATATCAGTTTATCTTTTACACAGATGGCTTTGTAAAACAAATTGGCACTGACTATTGCTCTATGGGTATTGGCTAGGTTCAAGTTCATAATAGTCATATTATCTAAAGCTTTTCTGCTTAATTCTCCAATTGGCATTTCTCCTATAAAGCTAAACTAATTGCAGTCATATCTGCTATATCTACACTTCCTCACAATTCTCTTATCAAAATATTTACTGACTTACAATCTATCATTTTTAAATTTAACAAACTTCAATTCTTTTTATCTTACTTCTCTAAACTCTAAATTTAATACTTGGCCTATCTGTATACACTTTTTAATATACTAAAATTCTTTAATATTTAACATACTTTTTATAAAGTTCAAGCCTACTCAATTGATCTCTTTAACAACTTTGCTAACCTGCTTGCAAACAACTATTCTACCTTACCTATTCTACAATTTAATTATACAAATCTCTAGAATCTATACTCTACACTTTTTTGAAATAATATCTATATTAAAAGCCTTATTAGATACTTTATTAAACCAATTTACAAAGCATATACTATTGCACTATAGTCTTCACAACAGCATGCTCAAAAATTGTTATATTTCTCTCACTTAATTGACAGCATGCTCCTGGCTATACTTCAACAATAACCAAAAAATTTTATATAATTTTATCAATTTCGAATTAAATTACTTAAAATCCTTCAAAATTAAATTACTTCTAAATATTTTACTAACTAATTTTTATTTTCATTCTATATATCTCTCTATATTTATATCTCCTAATTGCTTTTTCTATAATAGTCTAGATACTTCTTTTCACTAGTATACATATGTTCTAATAATACTCTTCTAATTAAAAATATCAATACATCTTATCAGAAAATTTTTTTGGTGATATATATAGATTATAATCCTCTAGATTATTATTGATATACATTACTTCTACTAAATATAAATATTAGTAATATATAATAATATATAGCAAAATTTTGTTAAATTTTATTAAAATTTGACATGGATTTTCTTGATAACTAACAATTGAAATCAGTTAAAATCTTTACTGTAGATAGTATTGATATACATTTATAATATGTAAAAATTTTAGCTAATTATAATTACTAGTTTACAAGAAATCGCTTGTAATATTAGTTAATTTTTTTAAAAAAATTAGCTAATGTATACAATAAATTTCTTGTAAACTAGTGAATATAATTAGCTAAAATTTTTATACTTTATAGATGTATATCGATACTATTTACAGAAAAAAATTAACTAATTTCAATTGTTAGTTATCGAGAAAATCTATGTTAAATTTTGATAAAATTTAGCAAAATTTTATAACAATTGTTAATAATTAATAATAAAATATATCGTTATATAACTATAATCAATATATAGTATTAAGAATATATATTGATCTATAGCTAATAATCGATATATATCATAAAAAAAATCAATTACAAATGATCCTAGTGCTTGTAATCGATACAAATCTTTAAAAAAAATTTTCTGATACTATTTATAAGATTATTACTAATGCTAGTCTAAATCTTACTTCATATTAATTTAATAACTTAATATATATGATTTCTTCTTATACTTCCTTCAATGCCTTATCTTCAACTTTATATCTTTATTCACTTTACTCTACACTTAAAAGCCTCATCCCCAAACTCTTAATTTATTCTCTAATCTCCTTTGATATTTTTTATTCTCAAGCCTTACAACTAATTATACAAATACTTCTTAAAATTTCTGATCTTACTTACAATAACATATAAATTTATATTGTACAAACTTCTTATATTAGAAAAAAGCCTACTAGGTTTTAACTTGTTTTATATCTAATACACTATTTTATTCCTCTTTATACTAAAATCATAAAAGAAACAGAACTATTTCTACAATTAGCTGCTCTTGTGGCTTTGCTAACCACTTATATTCTGAATTTAATATCTGTCCTCCTCTAGAACAAGCTTCTTTAAAAATAGATATTTGGTCTACTATATAGATTAAACATAGTATATCTATTAACCATATTCTATCTATCGAAATCTAGATAAGTCTTGACCACTCTAGTAGGTTTAAGTCACAGATAATTTTGTCTGAGCTTTTATTCTTGTATGTAATATATATTTATTTGTTAGTATACAAATTAAATCTTTATATAGCTTTATGTAATTACTTATATAAATTATTAAATAAAAATATGAGCAAGGCCTCACCTTAATGCCAAAAAAAAAAAAATAATAATAATTTTATTACAGCTATTTTCAAAATAGTTAAGAGTACAAAAAAAATTTTTTTGCAAATACTTGAATACTTGAATATTTAATTAGTTTAAACTAAACAAATATTTGAGTATTCAAGTATTTGTAAAAAAATTTATTTTTTGATACTCTCATTTATTTTGAAAACAGCTATAATCAATATTTAATTTTACTTTTTATATTTATAGTGTTATGGGCAGAATAAATCGTGATCACCTAAAACATGACTCAAATGATGATCAGGTCCCAGATTGGTGAATGATTTGTAATTATGGTGCAACAACAATGCCTTGTGCTTTAACATTTACAATTAATCTAAAATTGGGTGAAACCTGTATATCTGGGTCCCATACAATCGTATGACAGGTGTACTACTAAAATACGGCAGATAAAGAATATTTCATAGTGGTGGGTTGGTGTTAAATAGAAGATGAGTTAGTAAAATAAAAGTAGATAAAAAAATAGAAGAACAAAGAACCAGACTATCTGAATTAAGTAAAACCTGTAGAATCGTATAATTAAGTAATGATAATGCCAGGAAAAAAGGTTGAAATAGTTAAAAATAGAAAGCGAAGAATATAGACTTATCAAATCCACTGAAACTCTTAAATCAAATAATCAAATTTATGAATATGGTGAAAAAAGATCTAGGGAAAAAGAGAAAAGATTAAAATTAGTCTTAGAAAATAAAATTGTATAAAAGAGAAAGAAAAAATAAATAAAGAACTCATCTTTCATGTGCCTGAAATTATAGTAAAGGCAAAGATCAAGTATTAGTAAATTTGTCTTTTAAAAATAAACAAAACTCTTAGAGAATAAATTGATACTCACCAAATTGTATACACGCCTCTATTAATGCCTAAAACTGATATTATGCAAGATTCTTGGTCTCTTAGCAACAGACTCGCCATCAACATTTGGTGTTAACTGTGAGATTCGAATATCAAAGAGTAGCTACCCCCAATAAAAAAAAAAAAGAGATGAAGAGAAAGAAAGTTGTTCGAAGGCAAGATAGAAACTAAAATAATACTGAAAATAATACGTACAAAAAACACTATTTGATTAACACTGTTAACCGAAATATTGGGCATAACTGAGTATATAGCGTGATTGTGACATATGATTGATGATTAAACTTTGAAATATTAATCATACACAAAAGAATTTTTCTTTGTCATAATTATCTCATAATTTGGTAATAAGTAAAGTAAGGCAACAATAATTAAGTTATAAATTGGAAATTAGAAAGCTTATTGTGACGAACACTGCTATAGAATCTATGACTCTTGAATTAGTCATCATTTAACCGATATAAAAAGCAAACTTTGACAAAATCAAATATCTTTTTACTGAAATAACTAGAAAAAAAAAAAACCCCAACAAAAACAAACACACACATATTTACAACAATAAAAAGAACCAAAAATGGAAGATCTTCATACAACTATACTTCAGAAGACCAATACACTATACAAAGTGAAAATAGAAATGAAACAACACAAGTAAATCAAGATAAAGTAAATGTAATCCTTAGAGAAATAGTGAACGCCTTTTGAGATGCAACTTTGGGAGCCATTCATGATATACGACCAGAGCAATGTGAAAATAACTGGGTGAGAGTTAGAATGTTTTATGGAGAAGAAGAGAAAGATCCATTTGAGTAGATAGAAGTCTTTGAACATGCCGCTGACACTAATAACTAGGCAACAGGAAGAAAAATTAAAATTGTAACTGAATATCTCACTGGAATTGCTGCAGACTAGTTTCACAACAATAAAAAAACCTTGTTATACTGGGACGAACCATATGACCAAGAAGGAAGCTTTGTACTGGAGTTCTTAAAATACTTCACCACTTCCGAACAGAGATATTAATAGCAAGTCAAATTAAATTCTCTGATCCAAAAAGAAGTTGAACGAGTAGGGAACTATGCTTATAAATTTAAGAAACTGTTGAAAAGAGTAAATACTGGAACTGAGTTGCCCCAAGAATATATTGTACAAATGTTTATCAGAGGCCTTCAAGAAAAGGTGGCATTATTGGTCTCTGTGAAAGATCCAAGAAACTTGGAGGAAGCCATCTCCACAGCCAAAAAGATCAAAGCTGGAGGATATTATAAAAATAAAGCGACAAAAGAAAAAGAAGAGAAGAAGAATAAGTTAAAAAAAGATATAAATAAACTGGCACAGCAAGTTCAAAATATGAGTGTCAACTACGCTAAACTTATGGCCCTATTAACAACCCAAGCTGAATCAAGTACCCAATGAACTAGACCAAATAATAGGACAAGTAACATGGTAACTTGTTTAAGGTGTGGTAAAAAAGGTCATTATTCAAAAAATTGCCTCACAGAAAGAGAAACACCAGTTCCCCATGGAGAAAAATCTACTCAACCCACTAGGGTCATAAAACGTGAAACTGAAGCACACTATGGTGGAGTCAATAACAATTATAATGAAAGAGAAATGTACACTATTGATAATAGGTACCAACCTTATGATAGAGAGAATAGGGAACATCCCCGACCTAAGTCAGAATCACAATGTGAAGGATAGTTAATAAATAAAAAAACTATTGGTATTCAACCAAAGGAATTTGAAGAAACCTACCCTCTAATTGACGATGAAGACCTAATACAAGATAACTTACTTGCTCCTGCAAGAGCCCCAAGAAGAAAAAGAGGTCCGTCAATAGTATATTTGATTATTACTTACGATGTTGCTAATAATATTCTTAATACATATGTCAATGCATCCATTGGGCAAATGCTCCAGTACCCAAATTAGAGAAGAAACTTGGCAAAAGCTCTTCGAAGACTATTAATAATGGAAGAAACAAATTACATAGATGAAAAAAAAAAAGAACCACTGCTGCAAGGTGTAATATAAGAATCTGAAATAGCCTAGTCATCGTGATTTTAGATTCAGGTGCTACAGCAAGCTTTATAACAAAGAAACTAATGAATAAGCTTTGCCTTAAAATAGAGGAAAGTTCTACTACAGTTATAGTAACTGCTACTGAAATAAGAAATAGAACTTTGAGAAAAATCAAAAATGTAAAAATTATGGTTCAAGACTTAGCTATTCCAAGCCTACTTTAAGTAATAAAGTCAGTAGATAAGACTCTCTTGTTGGATAATGATTGGTTCAAAAAAGTAAGAGCCCATATATACTTTGGCAAACAAAAATTGATTCTAAGGTATTTAGGAAGAGTCGTCAAGGTGTCTATCACTAATAGTGGACCAAGAAAGTTGTTAAATAAGAAAAGAGAAAATCTCAAAGATCCCTTAAATAATGATGATAATCTGTTCGATCAATTGGTTTATGAAAATGAAGAAGTTAAAGAAACTGATGAATATTTTACAGAAGAAATGTTAAGTGAAAAAGAAGATTCAGAATTGTACATTAACCCCTGGCAAAATGCTTAAAGCTCTGCTGCATATTTGTCTTATATTGAAGAATTACCCGCTGTGTCGTTAGATGAAGGGAATCTATTGAAGAAAAAATTGAAAAAATAGAAGTTAGTGAGGAGTTGAAAGATAAGCAACATAAAGAGGCAAAAGATTTAATAAAGAAGGAAAAAGAAATCTATGCCCGAAAAGTTGAAGAACTTGGATATACTGAAAGAACTAACCACGTGATCAATATGAGTGATGCTGCATCTATAAAACAAAACATGTATAGGGCCACCCCCAGCATTAAAGAATTTATTAAAAAAGAAATAACCCAATTAAAAGAAAGAGGGTTAATTTGTGAGTCACAGAGTTCTTGGTCTTTCCCCATTGTGGTAGTGCACAAAAAGGGTGAAAAGTTGTGGTTATGCATCGATTACTGCAAATTAAACGTGATTACAAAAAAGGACTCTTACTCTCTTCCCCGCGTAGATGATCTCTTGAAAACTTTCTCTAAAGCGAGATGGTTCAGTTCTTTGGATTTATTAAGTAGTTACTGGCAATTACAGTAATGAAAAGGATAAAGAAAAAACAGTATTTGTTATCTCTTGTAGAACCTATAAATTTAACATTATGCCTTTCGGGCTGTATAATGCCCCTGCCAGTTTTCAAAGGCTAATGGATAAGATATTGGCTGATTATATTGGAAGATTTGTTATAGTGTACCTTGATGACATAAATATTTATTCTGAAAATTTTTATGAGCACCTAAATCATATTAGTATAGTTTTTAAGAAGCTAAAGGAGTCCGGGTTAAAATTAAATTTTGATAAATGTATCTTTTTTCGCAGTAATATCCACTTCCTTGGTTATGTCATTGGAAGAGATAGAATCAAACCTGACGAATTAAAAATTGAGAAAGTAAAAAATTTTCTGATCCTGAAAACTAGTAGGAATAAATTAGGAGTTCTGGTCCACTTTTTTGGCACCCTAGGTACCAAAGTAGTCATCTTACCCTTTTCATGGCTTTGTAAACCTATATTCTATAAAAACTCTTTAGTACCTATATAAAAACCTGGGTACCAAAAATTATATAGCTAGAACTAACTATTTTTATATTTTATAATCAAATCAGATGAGGACAAAAAATTAATCTCATCATCACACCTGATAACATATACTTTTCATCCATATATAAATCAAGGTATCAAAAATTAAGTATCTATTTTCCTTTTATAATACTTTTGATAATGTCTACCAACATAATAGCTTATAATATGGTCATGATATCTACCGCTTTTAGACTGAGTAGGTTTATCACAATTAGTACAAAGAAAGCATTTGATTGCATTTTTATGAAGCTAGCACCCTTTAGGATTCATACACGATTGACCGCATATCTCTCCGGTATATAAAAGAAAATTACAAATATATTCGCCTAATTGCATTTTTTTATATATGTCTAGTATATATTAATTTTCAAATTGAACAAAAATGTTTTATAAATAACAGATAAGGAATTATGTACCAGCATGCATATACAATGAGTAATCAAACTCAAGATACAAAAGATATTCAAACCAAGCCCACCTATCAAGAAGTTGAGCAAGCTTTAATTAATGTAGTTAAAGCAGGCATCTATTATAAAAAGCC